GAGAGTGAAGGCGAGCTGATGAAGCTCACAGAACCCGGGAGGAAGAAGATGCTGACGGAATGACAAACTCCAGGTACCGCCAAGACGGATGCCCAAGAATCTTATGGCAGCAATCCTCTACCTATCTTTGCGTTTCTTCAAGTCCTAAGCCGCAACAATGGATCCTCGCGGCGCACGGCTGTTGACACAGCTCGGAACAAGACATCTAAAAGACATCCGATCGGATGCTTTTCAAAAGAGACGCGATTCCGAGGCCTCTGAGAGCTGCCGAGCCGAGGAGCCCAGAGATTGGAGATGCTATAAGTGTGATGCTGGGGTTTCTGGCAAGCCCCCAGAAGAGATAGGGCAAGGCACGTACAACACAAGAGGCACAAAAGACACAGAAGGCACGACGGACAAGTGACACGACGCGCCCCGAGGCTGCTCTGTCCTGCACACCTCAGCACTGTGAACAAAAGTGAGGCTCTCCCACCGTGCGGCCTAAGGGGCCACAGCCTGGACCTCCCCGTCCCCAAAGCTGACTCAAAAATCCCAGGTCACATGTCCCGTCCCGGCACCCTGCTTTCATCCTTTCCGCGGGTCGTAGCCTTCGACTCAGCTCTCGCATGCCCGGCAGGGTGGATCCACACGGGGTGCGAAGGAAGGCCGCCTCGCCATCTGGAAAGTTCCTGCCATTGCCAGGATGTCGTCTCCTGGTCAGCTACAACCAAGAAGACAAAATATCAATGCAGGAGATTAGTGCCACATCTGTGAAAACCCAGCACTTACCTTCTCTAGAGAATACCCAGGTTCATGGGCTGCACACTTCACCCCACAGGGAGGCAGAGGCTTGCTTCAAAGCAGTATTGGCTGACAGCCAAATGACCACCACCTCAAGGAGGGGAGGAAGACTCTCCAGTCAGTGAGGGACAGAAAGCCCAGGGTACCCCAAGGAGAGAAACCCCAGCTTATATGACAGCAGTAGGCCCTAGCACTCACTATCGCTTCCTGGCTGGCCCTAGCACCAGGGGTACTGCCTGCACCTCTTGAGGGTTCTGGCACTCTGCTGCTTTAGGGTTCCTGCCTGCAGCTGTCTCAAGGAAACGGGAGCGCTGTTAGGGCTACTCTTTAGGGTTTGAAGAGTCCTGTACTCTACCTTCTATCCCAACCTGTACCCCTTTTATTTTCACTGTTTGTCTCCAGCCCTCGAGACCTTGACCTCTGAAGCCCTCCCTCAGCCTCTCTGTGTCACTGCCAAGCTGCCCCACTGAACCCTACAAACTTACAACCCTACGCTTGCAACCGGGGATGCTCCTTATCCATAGGCCCCAAGAGATGTCCCTTAGCCCGGACCAGGCAATCCACAGTTGCTCCCTACCCTACCTAAGTTTGGCCCTGAGACAGGGCAGAGGCTGACAGAGCCGAACTCTTTGCGGAGGCCAGGCACGAAGCCTTACCAACCGCCGCCTCGAGGAGGGGTGGGAGCAATCCCCGGCTGCGGAGGGACAGAGAGCCCAGGGTGGGGCGGGGCGGGAAACCCCCTGTTTCCCCAACCCTGCGGATCGTCCCCCCACTATCTCTTCCTGGCTAGCCCTAGCACCAGGGAACTGCCTGCACCTCTCGTGGGTTCTGGCACTCTGCTGCTTTAGGGTTCCTGCCTGCAGCTGTCTCAGGGAAACAGGAGCGCTGTTAGGGTTGCTGTTTAGGGTTTGGGGTGAGGTACACCTGAACTCCACCTTAGCTATACCCCTTCTTTTCACTGTTCACTCAGCCTTTTTATTTTTGGAATTCTTGTGACAGATTGAGGGCATTGAGGAGAGACTGAAAAGATTAAATCAAAAGGGAAAAGGAGAAAGATCACCCCTGCAAATCCACACTGGCTCATCTGTTCAGGTGCTGCTTCCTGGCAAAAAGCTTTGTCCCTCACCACCTCCTTTAAGCAGTGCTCCACGTCCAGGTGCATCCACGTGCTCCCCCAGACCCTATGAGATGCTCTCACCGTCACTCCATCAGATGCCACTGGGAGCCCACCAGAAACTCCTCTCCTCCAGCAGTTCCATGCCAAAGTTGATTTGCCACTCGTATTTGGCCCTGTAATAACAGCAAAATTGTTGCCCTCTGTCAGGTACATGTTGTTAGACACAGGTTTTTCCATAGCCATCTTTTCAAGAACGAAGTGTCATCCCTGCTTGATTGCTAAATTAACAGTAAATTCTGGAAAACCTAAATGAGAAAAAGAATCTAAAAGCCTGACGAGTTAATATGGGAACCTTTATGTGATTAAACTAGTATGCTTTGACATGAAGTGAATTCTTCCAGGTCTACTGCAAAAATCCAATTCCTAAAAAAAAAAAATAACCAAAAAACAAACAGCATCAAATTCCCACCCATATGATCAATAAAATCACAATACCTCCACCAGCCAAGGGAAAAAAATCTTAACCTAGAAAAAATCCAAACCACCTCAAAAAGATTCAACACTGAAACACAACGCATCCTAACACTTCAACTAACTATACTAAATTTTAAAAACAAATATTCCCTCTATCCACACCACCAATACCACATAAAACAAATAAAGTACTCTCATCCCAGCACCCCCAAATCAAAAACCTAAATTGCACTAAAATCTTTAAAATAATTACAAATTAACCCCAAAATAAAGTTTAATCTCACTAACAAAAAAAACCCCCAAAACAGGTAGCACAAACAAAACCCACACCATACAACCACCAGCAAAAACAGATGCTATGCTCTTTCACTAACAGTTCTTATCACATCAGCAAAGTTAAACATAAATAAAAAGCAACCCTATTGAACTCCACACATCACACCAACTATTAAAAAAAAAAAATCAAACCAAGTCACTGAACTCAAAGCCATTCAACTAACCCTAAACATTAGTAAAAAAACCCCAAATCTCTACATTTATAGTAATACATAAATAATTACCAATACTCTGTAATAAATTTTAATAACTAATTAAAAACAAAAAACCAACCTAAACTACAAAAAGTTCAAAAACACCACCCCCAAAAATATACCTATAAAAAGCCACCATATAAATGCCTGTGTCTGCAGAAATGAAGCTAATAAGAAACACCACAACAGAAAGGAATCCAAACTTATCATCAACACCTAAACTAAAAACCACAACATTAAATAAATAGAACATATACATTATTATACACCAACTACAAACAAAATAAAATTATACAATCAATTACTAAAAATCACCTTAAAACCACTCAAAAAACTTCCAAAAATTAAAAACTGCATCTAACAAAAGCCACCTAATTAACACCCAAAACTCAGCTAACCAAGCAAACCCTACCCCATCTGAACCCCTACATACAATAAACAAAACCAAATACATATCAAAATCTATTTTAATTGATTCTACCTAAAACACAAACCAACCCATCCATAAAATCATCTTTATTCAAAAACCAAATTTCACGTAGTGAACACAAAAAAATGAAACAACACACTATGTGCCACCAAAGAAACTAATATTGAATAAAAACCACATAAATAACTCTGCTTATTAAATATTACTACCACTATTTATATTTACCTGTATCTCTATAAAAGTATATCTAAAAGTAAAAAATAATAATTTTACCATTATGCCAAAGATAAACAATAAAAAATATGTCCTAAAATTACATTGTATTATATCCCCACCATCTGCTTTATGCCCAAACATAAATTCTGTAACTTCAAAACTAAAAAAGAAAAAAAAAACTTTTAACGTACAATCTGTATACAATACTAATACAGTCTACCCCAAATTCTCTCTCAACTCTATTGTTTAACAGAGACAACAAAAAATCCATTTTTTACTTTTTTAAAAATAACTTCTCATAGAGAGGAATGACGGGTTTGTCTTTACAAACAAGCTGTGGGTCTGCTGATAAGTTGCAGCTATCAGTGAGAGACAACAGAAACAATGGGATGGATTCCACTAAAAGATCAAAGAGGCACTGAAAGAGTATCACAAATTCCACAAAAGTTAAGAATTAAGAAGGGATTATGCGTGGGGGGGGGTAAAGGTATTCCAGGTATCAGGCGTTCCGGGAAGCCTGTACCTCTCAAGTACCTCAGCCCATGGGGAAAGACAAAAGGGACAAGCGGACGGGAATTAGGATAAAAAGGAGGCTGCGCCCTCCAAAAATTTGAGAAACCCCAAGGGAATGCCCCATGGCCTCTCCCTTTATTCGAATAAAGTAAAAGGACTCCTCTGTCTCCTCTTTGGACATAAACCTCTGGTGTTTGTGGATTAATTTTCCTGACATCATTGATTAGTGAATACAAAATAATTGCCAAAACCATAGTAACTTCTTCTAAAACTGTTCAACTTGACTCCAATCCCAAAACCCAAGCTACCACCAAAACACCCCACGGCTCAAAAAGACCCACGCCACATCCCAAACACAAGTGAAAAAAACCACAAAATCTTCTAAATCTCCTGATCTTTACTCCACAACAAATAAATTATCTAACGTTATTCATTCTTCTTCCTACGCCCTACTTATTAAAATAAACACTTCTTTTCACTTTTCCTCAAAAAAATTTCCTTTAAAATCTATTAAAAAACTAACTGAAACCTGATTTCTATCAAGAAACACATTCATTTTAAAACATTTCCTCCCAATTGGTCTCAGACCTTTCCAAGGTTTGGATCCTGTCCCAGTGCACCTGAACCAAATCAACCTGCTCTGGCTCTGGAAATATCAACAATACCAAACCCAGAGCACGAAGCACCTCGCTGTTCCTACCCCGCTGTGCCTCGGCCCTGTTCTCTCGCATCCTACGCTGCAGAGCGCTGGGAGCCAGGTTCAGCCCCGAGAATTGTCACATCCATTCCCTCGGACATTCCAGCTTCCACGGGGATATTGTGGGGACCCCCTGCATTCCATTCCCCAGTACAGCACCAAGACAAAGTTCTCACTCGGCCCGCGTCTCCAGAAAATTGTGTGCAAGGCTTAAATAAACCCCGAGGCTTGAGAAATACAGTCTGCCCGAAAAGCCCAGCTCTGCATCCAGGGGAAATGAACATCACAAACAGATTCACACACCCCAGATGCACGGGACGCTGCCAGCTCGGACCTGCAGTTAACTCGGCAATGGAAAAACCTGAGCTCGAAGCCCTCCTGTGAGGTTGCAAAAGGTATTGGACAGTTTCTAGAAGGCGCCACATCGTTATTTAAAGGCGCAGCTTGGCTAAAGAGCAATACCGACAAAGCCCCGAGACAAAAAGCCCGGCAGGTCGGGCTTTTCCCCCTCCCCTCCTCCCAGCGGCTTTTGCCAGGGCACTCTGAAGCTGATAATCCACAAGTGTTCCCCAGTGGCCCTCGCCGGGACTCGCTCCCGGGCTGGCGCCGCTCCAGGTGCGGGGGGACCGGGGGAGCCACGCGAGCCCCGGCAGCGGCGGCACTCGGCACCCGGGGGCGGCCCCACGCTCCCGGCCGGAAAGCGGCTCCTCCGGCGGGCGGGGGCAGCTCCGGCCCCGGGAGAGCCCGGCCCGCCCAGCGGCACCGGGACCGGCCCGAAGGGGCCCCGGCGGTGCCCGAGCCCCGCGCCCGGAGCGGACAGAGCAGCCGGGACAGACACAGCTCCGCGCCGCGGCTCCCGCCTGCCCGCCCGGCCTCAGCACGGCTCTGTCACTCCTCGGGGGCTGCCCAGCCGCCAAATTCCCCAGGGAATGCCAGAAGCGCTGCCGTGCAGGGCTGTAAGGGGTCAGAATCGCTCTCAAAAGCAGCGCCACGGCTCCATGTGACCCCGCCTAATGCTGGAAAAGCCGGTGTTTCTGTCAATTGAACCCCGGAAACTGAGGCAATGGGGGGGTGTTCGTGCCTTCTTAAACCAATACGATGGCAAATAAATGAGTGCTCCCCCCCTTCAATTTAATCCCCTAAAAGTAAAAAGTTGTTTTTCCCTTGATTGAAATCTCTCAAATGATAGGAAAAGGGGAACACTCAATCAGACCCTTAAAAAGTAGTGACTATAAGGCTTCCTTCTCAATTTAAACCTCAGGATGATGGAAAGTGGGGGGTTCCCCTCAAGTCAAACCCATAAAATAGCAACAATATTTCCCCCCTTCCATTTAAAATGGAACATGGGGATTCACTGTTCACTGATACCCCTAACACCCTGGAAAAGGCAGGTTTTCCTCCAATCAGTACCCTTAAAATCATAGGTGGACTCCCCCCAGTGTAAAAATAGATAATAACAGGAGTTTCTTCCCTCAATTTATGCCCCCCTTTTGTCCTCATAATACCCATTTCTTCCGGGGGGAATTGGGGAGCAAACGACAAAATGAAATCAAAAGGGAAAATCCCTTTTGCAAATCCCTGCGAACCCACACAGGCTTACTTGGCTCAGATGCTGCTTTAAACAATGCTCCATGTCCAGGTGTATCCAGCTGTTCTCCCAGATCCTATGAGATACTCCCAGTATTATTCCATGAAATACCCCCCAGGAGCTCACCAAAAATCCCTCTGCTCCAACTGCTCCACACTCCATGCTCAAGCGAAGTGACAGAAACCCTCCCCCTAAAATAGCCCCGGGCAGGACCCACCCATTCTTTACCATAACTGCTCACACCTGGGGCTGCTCTGAGAGCTCATCAACCTCACTGC